GCATTACTTGGTTCTCCTCTGCTGGAATGCCGCTCCTTCTCATTGCTCCCTTTTGGATTCCTGAAACTTCATTTTTAAAGGCCTGGGTTCATCATCACCCTGTTCATGAAGTATTTTCCAGTCTTTACAATTGGAGATAATTTGTGTCTATTCTGTGTGGTAGTAGAACTTCTTAATCACATTTTGATGACATTACTTAATTTTGTTGAGTCCTGTATTTACTTAGACCTGCCAGTGTATTCAATCTGCCAGTGTATTCAATACTTTTATATTAACCTCCTCAGGGTGCCAGGCACTGGAGATGCCAAGATAAATATGGCATGGACCCTCAAGAATCTCAAAGTCTAATAGAGAAAGCAGCCACACAAAAGTTACAGTGCAATATAACTGGTGCTGTAATCGAAACAGTATGTATGAGAGCTCTGGGGTTAGCCCAGGTCTCCTCTTTCAAACCTACTGATAGCCCCTTAGAGGGCATGGACCTAATCTTGTTTTTGTGCGACCTGCAGAGTCAAGTCGATGCTTACTAAAGGCTCATTGATTGTGAATCTTATCACTGATGATCAGTATTGCTCAATTTTAGTAGTAACAGTCTTTAACATTCTTAGTCTTCAGAGACATAAGTATGCTTTAAAAAAAATATTGTTATTAGCCTTCTAGTCCAAGTTTAAACAAGATAATTTCATCTCGTAAGCTGTGTTGTTGCCATCATTATTGAATTTGTTTGATCTGAATATGTCACTGTATTAAAATATTATCTCCTCTTCAACTAGTTTTAATATTCCTTTATTCTACTAACCCTTTTTTGCCTCAAAGCGTTTTGTATTCATTTCAATTAATTGTTCCTTATCTCAACCTAATGAGGTTGTTACTGTTCTCATTTTTATTACTGAAAAAACTGATAATCAAAAGGTAAATCAAGAAGCTTCCAATTTACAGTGTTTCTAATTCAGAGCTTGAATCGTCCATTCTGAACCAATTTTGCCATGCTTCAAAGGCTGTAACATTGAATGAAATACAGTATTATTTAAAATGATGGAAAATATTGAATTCAGAATAAAATATCCCTTCTGCATTAGATGCCAAAGAAGTCTGTTATTTGGTCTATCAAGGTCTATTCTGAAAGTGTATTTGTAGTGTATATAATATCGTTTGCAAATTAACATATTTATAAGCTATTGCCAAATAGTATCATTTCTTCTTCAGCTGCTTTCTTCCTGTCTCTTGAATTAAAAGATTAAAATTCTGTAACTATCACCGCTGTAATTTTGAGTGTATTTAAAGTTTATCTGATTGCCTGTTGGATATAGTAGTGAGCATCTTCAAGTTTTGGTCTTTTATGTTTCCGGTTACTGTAGGGTTACTGCAATAGCACCTCAGGCAGTTAGACTCAGCACTTCATTACATTCTCCACGATATGGTTAGATCTTCAAGAATTCAACTTTCCTGGGACGCCTGGGTGGCTCAGTCAGTTAAGCATCTAACTTTGGCTCAGGTCAGGATCTCTCCATTCCTGAGTTTGAGCCCTGCATTGGGCTCTGTGCTGACAGCTCCTAGCCTGGAGCCTGTTTCAGATTCTGTATCTCCCTCTCTCTCTCTTCCCCTCCCCGACTTGTGTCTGTCTCTCACTCTCAAAAATAAACATTAAAGAAAAATTTAGAAAAATTTTTTTTTCTAATTTAAAAAAGATTTCGACTTTCACATTTTAGTGCTTCCTTTTGGTTATAGTTTATGTATGGATCAAGCTTTATTTTTTTTTTTAATTGTTTTTTTCAACCTTTTTATTTATTTTTGGGACAGAGAGAGACAGAGCATGAACGGGGGAGGGGCAGAGAGAGAGGGAGACACAGAATCGGAAACAGGCTCCAGGCTCTGAGCCATCAGCCCAGAGCCTGACGCGGGGCTTGAACTCACGGACTGCGAGATCGTGACCTGGCTGAAGTCGGACGCTTAACCGACTGCGCCACCCAGGCGCCCCATGGATCAAGCTTTAGACACAAATGTATATAAGTAGACTTTATCCTCTCGGTATTTTTTATGTTGTGATTTAATATTTTGCGGATTCATCCATAATTGCTAAAATTCCCTTTTTAAAACTGTAGACATGTGGTGTCCACTTTGGTAGCCACCAGGCACATGCAGCTATATAAATTTAAATTAAGTGAAATTAAAACTTAAATCTTCATACACAATAGTCCTATTTCAAGTACTGATGGCTGTTGGATGTGACAACACAGATGTAGAACATTTCTGTCATAAAAAGTTTTACTGGACAGTGTTGCATAGCTAATTCATTGTAACATATTTGTGTATGATAGGAATTTCTGCATTTTATTTTTTATTCATGGTGAATTTTTAGACATGGTCTATGTTAAATACTTTTATTTCCTTCCTCTGCTGTTAGGAGTACCTCCGTGAATTTTTACCATACACAAGTCTCATCTGAATTTTTGGTTGAATTTACTTATCACCTTACATTGTAGTGGGCAGCTTGAAATTAGACTACTTGAAAATTGTTCCTATATTAACGACACACAGAAGTGATTTTACAAAGTGAATTTGTTGGTTTTTAAATTTTTTCTTAAAGACCATCTTCTCCAAAGTTCCCATTTTGAGAAAAATAACTGCCAGTCCTCTGGTCTGACATTGATCACTGCACGTTACAAAGTTAAGATTCCTAAATGCTGGTCTCTTTTATACAGTTTCCTCTAAGCCCATTTTTTACTTAAATAAAAAAAAAATTCCTTAGGGGAATGAAGATCTTACAAGCAGTTTCAGAGCAGAATTGATTTTGGTTTGTGTTAATGCAGACAATCTGCCCAGTGTTAAAATGTTAAAGAGAAAAAAAAAAAAAAAACACACAAGCTGCCATATTCGTGTGATCACACCAAAATAGCAGCTTGTATTTATATTTTCAGTCTCCTCGAGGTGGACTGCAGGCACACATGAATGAGTGGATGTAGTTGGTGTTGTGTTGTGATTTTATTTAATGCAGGCAAAGTACATGCTTGTGCATGCACGACCAGCCCTCACATATGCACTTGTTCACAGCCGGGGAAGTGGAAACTACAACACAAGCCGCTCTCTAAGAGTTGTCGGCAACCTGTGTGTGTGTTTCTTAAATATTAAAGAGGGGAAAAACAGATTTTCAGGAATACGAGAAACCATTCTCCTTGTCAAATGGCCTGTAGTCCTGCCTCATTTGACAACATTTAAGGTAAAAACAAAATATTTTATTGTTATTATAGTTGCATATACATATTTAGAAGTCTGTGTTTTCCTTTACCGCTCCTGTTTTTAACATGTATCTTTCCCATTTCTGTTTCATTTAGGCGTGCAGATTCTTACCACACATTTATTCTAATTTATGGGATTTTTTTTTTTTAATTTGAAAACAATTCTTTAGTACTTGAGTGAAAACGTTAGATGTATTTGCTACAGGTCGCACCATCATCGTGCTTTGGTCAGCTTCCTGATGCCCCTAACCTTTGGACTTTGGGAGCAGTGCTACATGCAGCAGCAGTTACAGATCTAGCACCACGGGCTCTTGACCACAAGCGGTTTTGCTTTTGAGATCCTCCTTGTTTTACATTGAGCCAGTTTTTTCAGCACTGTCTGTGGTTGTGGGTTCACATACTAATCGTCAGAGGGTTCAGAAGTCAAGTCTGGTGGGTGGTCAAGAAATAGTTCATCCTAAAATATTCCTACTAGGCACAACCTGTTTAGTAGTGTAACGTAATCTTTTCAGAACTTAAATGCAGGTTCAGAATTGAAGCTCCACTGGTACTTTAGGGGTAGATGCTTTGAATTGCTTTAAAATGTTTTAATTATTGAAAAACTGCAAAATCAAGTCTGTCTTTTCAGTTGTGACAGACTCTTACATGTAAAGTGCACACATCTATCCACCTGTATATTTTTTTCCTAATTTTTCACCTTTATGGTATAAGTAGAAAGTTCTTTATTTTTGTTTTTTTTTTGAGGCAGGGAGGCCGTGAGGTAGAGGGCTTGATATGTAACTCAGAGCACTGGAGAACTAGACAGAAACTGTGATGAAAATGTCTAATTAGATGGTGACACCTACCATCTCCTGAAACTCCAGCCCTACCCGCCTTTTCCCCACTATGCGTTCTTTCCTATTTCCTGTCCTCTAACCCTTCTGCTTCATCATCTCACTTGTGTGGTGATTTCAAATCCCTACCTTCCATCTAAGACTCTCAGAGATTTTCTGCTATCCTCTTGGGCTGGATTCTGCCTGTTGTCATCACAACAGATTTCTACCTTCCCCCCCCCCCCTGGCCTTTGTAAAATCAGTGTTCACCTTCAGTTTATGGCCTGTGGAAACTGTACGTTGCTCTTGTCTTTATTAATTGCAGAAACAAGGACACAACTCTGGCCCGGCCTTTCTTAGTCTTCACCTTCCCACCTCTAGTCCCTGAGTCCATAGATTTCATTTTTTGTCTTTCATTGGCTTGTTTATAGGTTTGTGGGTTCAGTAACTCATTCAACAAATACTACTTGGGAAATTACTGTGTCCTAGCTGCTGTCCTAGAAGTTGAAGGCCCTGATAAAGAAAATAATGCCTGTTTTGTTCTTTTACCGGTCATGTACATTTCATTGTAATTATCTTTCTTTAAAAATATCTGTCACATGTCTATTATCTGTACTAGATTTTCTTGAGTGCTTAGTTCTTATGCTTTGTATCTTATATTTTGTATGTTTCTTGAGTGCTTCATTCTTATGCTTTGTATCTGGCTCTCATAATAGGCATTTGTGTTATCGGTAGTCCCCTAATTAAATCTTTTTATTTTTCAAATCTGGAAAGTTGAAACTAAGAAAAAATAGGACTTAGGAAAGTATAATTTGTTAATGGCCAAAATGGAAATAATACCTAGGACTCCTAGTCTTTCCATACCTCTGTAATATTTTATGTTAATGTTGTTTGCCTAGACTTAACACTTTCTCAATTCAAGAAACATTAAGTGAATACCTTTTATATGCAGAGCACTCTGTGGAGCGAACAGGAGATGGAAACATAGGTGAGTTATATAAATCTTCCTCAGAAAGAGTTGGAGATTAAATCAATGCAGTTTGTACCTCTGGGGGTATATACTCTAATGCAGAGTTCCTCAAGGCTGGGAGCACTGACCTTCTGGGCCAATTCTTTGTTGTGAGAGGCACTCATGCATGGTGTGGGACGTGCAGCACCATCCCTGACCTCTCACTGCTGAAGGCTCTGTAAGGCCTGGTGTTAAATCTTTATAGGGCCTCAGGGTGTCCTGTCTCACAGAAGGGTTCTCTGAGGCATCACTTTAGAGCTTTCTGAGTTCTTAACAAAAGATTTTACACTGACTCCCTCGTTTTTTTTGTTTTTTTTTTTTTTGTTTTTTTCAAACTGTGTTTTAGATTTGATCTTTGTCCAGAAGCACTTTCTTAATGTTAGCATTATTTGCTGGATAAAGAGGCTGAGAATGAGAAGTTTTATTTTCAAACCCAGCAAGTCCTAGAACCTTTATGTTTAGCAATTCTCTCTTTTGCTTCTCTCCTCTTTCATTCTACCACAAGCAACAAATATAAATCAAGCAGCACCTTCAACACTCTGCCTGGATAGCTCCTTAGCTAGGTTACCCAGTTTATGTGGTACATTTTCAATTTTCCATATAACTAGAGGCTGCCATGTTGCTGCTACACAATAAGGAAACTTCTTCCTCCATTTTTCCTATAATTTTTTCCTTACTTTCATTTAAGCTTCACTGGAAGCCTCCTCATGGGCTCTCTTTTGCTAGCAGCCTTTTTCACAACCTTTAATCTTTCACTGGTGCTATATCCAAAGTCCTTCCAGTTTCTGTCCAATCCCATAGACACTCCTACCATGTATTTTATAGGTTTTTTTTCTTTTTTTTCAACTTTTTTTTTTTTTTTAATTTTTGGGACAGAGAGAGACAGAGCATGAACGGGGGAGGGGCAGAGAGAGAGGGAGACACAGAATCGGAAACAGGCTCCAGGCTCCGAGCCATCAGCCCAGAGCCTGACGCGGGGCTCGAACTCACGGACCGCGAGATCGTGACCTGGCTGAAGTCGGACGCTTAACCGACTGCGCCACCCAGGCGCCCCTTTTATGGTTTTTTAATAACATCCCAGAATCAGGTATCAAAACCTATATTAGTTATCAATTGCTGCATAATATGTCAACCAAAACCTAGTGACTTGAAACAATGATCATTTATTTCATAGTTGCTGCACATAAGCAATTTAGAACAGCGTAGCCAGAAGGTTCTGGGTTGGGAGTCTTATGAGTTTGCAGCCAGATATCAAGTGGAGCTGCAGTCATCTGAAGGCTTGACTAAGGCTGGGGGATCCATATTGGTTCCTCTCCATGTGGATCTTTCCATGAGACTGCTTAAGTGTCTTTCTCCAGAGAAGACTTCTCCCAGAGCAAGCAATCCATGAAGGAGGATGTTCTAAAGAATTTGCAAATGTCTTTTTAAAGCCATTGCACTCCACAGGTAGCTTCCCAGGCCTCCTGGATGGACTTTTTCCTTCTATCCACATGGAAGAGGAAATGTGCATGGGGCCTGACTGAAGTGGATGTGACGGTTGAATTTTGTGGTCAGTCGTACATCATTTCCACTCTCATTTCATTGGTTAGCACTCAGTCACATGTCTACAGCTAAACTGAGAAAGAAGCTGGGAAATTAAATCCAGCTGTGTTCCTGGAAAGACGAGAAAGCAGATTTGGTTGAGTAAGGAAAGTGGTGCAATCATCAACCAAAACACGGAGCACAGGAAGAAAAAGTATGCCTGCTTTCATTCTGTGTGAAATTGCTCCTCTTCATGGTTTTTTTCCTGATTTTCCACTTTTTCTCTAATAAAACAATAAACCAGAAGAAGGTATTATCGTTATTTTGGTGTTTAATAGTATTCGAGGGAGTTTCCATCAGCTCATTTTAAATTTTGGATGAATGCTTGTTTTGAAATTCTGTTCTTGAAGTATGGGCATAACACCAGTTATTGTTCCTTCAAGTCCTTCTGTGCTTCTCTGTCCTACTGCATGATTATAAACCTTCACCAAGGGCTTTGTTTTTTCCCCTGGGGCATCTTATTGAATACTTGCATCTTCAGTAATTCATCTGGGCCCAATGCTTTGTCTGTTTTAATACTTCTAATTACCTAATTATGTACTATAATGTGGTGACAAAGCCCTTTATCATTTCACTCTTTTCTTAACCCTTTTTTTGCTTAGAAAATACATATATTTTTTTGTCTTTTTGTTGTCTGAGGAACTCTTCATTATAGATTGCCCAGAAATTTGCCTGGCTTCTCTTTATTGTCTGTGTGTAATATGACAGACCATTGATTGCCCTGTTGAGTGTCTTTCTACTTATCTTACATCAGCCACCTGGGTTCCTGGTTATTGGGGCTCTAAAGCTGGTGTGTAAGCTGTTCCTCCTCCCTCACTTTATTCCTTCCCATATACTGCAGTCACATGAGAAGATACCCAAAAGGCATGTAGAATAGTCCGGTTGTTGTAAGTTACTTTTGTGACAGAATTAGTGACTTTTCTGTCATTCATGGATCTTAGATGTCCGCAACAAGTATCCACGAACTAATGTAATGGGAGTCAACAGGATTTTTCAAAATTTTGCTGACCTTACTTGATTGAGGATAAGTAAATATTGATGAAGGGAAATTTTTCATTATATATGGGTTTTACGCAATGAGGATAAAATGATAGAATTATAGTTTTACTATTTACAATCTCTAATGAATTAATAGGTCTAGGCAATGATCACCAATGGTTGCTAGCATCATAAAAAGAAATAAGCTGATATGTGCATCCTGATGGAGGTACGCAGTACAAGCCATACGAGAGATCTATTGCTGCATCGTAAACCACCCCAAAGCTTAAAACAACAGCACTTACTTTGTTGATGAATCTAGTACGTGGGCAGGGCTGAGCCGGAGAGTTTGACTCTGTTCCACATGATGTTGGCCAGACCTGCTTAAAAGTTAGGGGCTGGAATCGTTCGAAGGCTTGTTCACTCCCCTGTTTGGCTATTGAAGTTGGCTCTCAGGGGAGGCCTTCTCTGCAGCTGTGATCAGAACACCTCCACAAGGCCCTCCCACGTAGCTACTTGACTTAGGAGCAGCATGGTGTCTGAGTTCCAAGGATGGGTCCAGATGGAGAGCCAGACAGAAGTTGTGTGACAGCATCACTTTGTGAGAAGCTAGTCACTAAGGTCAGTACATATTCAAATGGAGAAGAGTTCGATTCCTCCACCTTTTCATAAGAGAAGTGTCAAAAAATTTGTTAACATGTATGAAAACCATCAATACCACCCATGAAGAATTTTGTTGAAAATTGAACTTGAATTTGATGAAGTGTGTAGACCTAACTATCAGTTTATAAGATATATAGGAGGAGGAGGAGACGTGTTAAATAACAAGATAGAGGAACAATAAGTAAAATTCAGAATGTGGGAAGTTTCTACAGGATAAGTAACCTGGCTTCTTTAACAAATACATTGGAGAGAGAGAGACAGGCAGTGGGGGGTGGGGGGGGGAGGGGAATAAATCTATAAAGTAAAAAAAATCTAAAGAGATACATCAACAAATTGTAGTGTGTGGACATTTCTTGGATTGTGACTTTGAACAAACTGAAAAAAATTAGGGAAATTTGCACATTGCCTGGATATTTGATTTAATTAATGGATTATTACTTTTATGAGTTGTGGTATCAGAATGGTACGTGGTTATGTGTTTAGAAAGCCCTTATCTTTTAGAGATACATACTGTGGTATTTATAGATGTGGCATCTCAGATTTATTTCAAAATGCAGAATTGAAGGAGGAATATATATGAAACAAGAGTTGATTGGCAATGAAAGTGAGTGATGGATATATCGAGTCTACTATGGTCTGTTCTCTAGAAATGTTTGAGTTTTCTATAATAAAAGGTCTTTTAAGTCTTATAATGAAAACTAGAGTGCCTACGAATTTTGGGTTATTTCAAAATGCAGAACAAAACACACACACCAAAGTTTTATATCTCTTGGTATTAATTTTTAGTATGTAAAATTTGTCTGATTATAAGTTCCTTTACACATCTTGAGAGAGAAACTGCTTTATTTTAAATTTGATCACTTAAGTTAGAACTGAAATACTTTTTTTCATCAAGAAAACTCTTAGAGTCCCTTGGAGAGCCCTCATTTCTCCAGGCTCCCGGCTTGGGGTGTCCCCGTTCCCCTCAGTGGGACACCTGGCTCCCATCTTGGCCTTCCCTCCCTGGCTAGGGGATGGAGGCGATGGGCCTGGGATGGCCAAGCCTGGCCGGGTTGACCCTTGGACCTTGCAGAGCTTTAGAGGCCCTCCTGGTGATTCAGGAATCCTGGGTGTTGGTCCAGGCTCTGAGGTGTGAGGGATTCCTCCATGCCCCGCCCCACCATTTGAGTTCTGGGTAGGATGGCTACTATGGACATCAGGTTGGAGTGGGGCTTGTGCCCCCGTGCCTCAAGGTGGCCTAGAGACCTCCCAGGTGGAGGGCGAGAGGGGAGCTGGGGTGGAGAGAAACTCCAGTGGCAGGGGGCCTCCCCCAGCCCTGCGCTGCCCCACCTGGGGCTGTGAAGCCAGAAAAGGAGAAGCTGGAGTAAAATCCTGAAGAGTCCCAGGACATCAGAGCTCTGCAGAAAGACCTGTAATGTAATGAATGACTCGCCAAGCTCCTGAAACAGAAGAGGATCGCTCCGGGATGTATTTAGGCCGATGTGGGGTTCACCCTGAGGGTTCTCTTTGGGAAGGTGTTTAGCCAAATGACCGTCTGTTGTTTTGAGGCTCTGCAGCTCAGTTTTAAGAACTTGTAATCCGTGTCCTGTGCTGCAGAAGTAGGAGGACGAAGCTGACAATCATGAAAATCTGCAGGAGATAGGCAGAGCAGAGGCCCTTGTGCAGACTCCAAAGAGTAAGTGAACAAGTATGAAGAACTGAGGGACAGTCAACCTGGAGGACGTGCTCCTGCAGTTCCCGAAACCCACCCTGCGGCAGATGAGCCACACAGCCCAGCAGCTTGGGCTGGAGAGGGATGTGCTCCGAGTGTGTTTCTGCAACCCTCACCAGAAGGGCAAATGACCAAGCAGTGACTGTTCGCTGGGAGAAGATCCTGAGGCTGCTGGGTCCCCTTTCTCAGGGGCACCGGCATGCTTTCTTCTGGCACCAGGGCTACATTTTGGTACCCCAGGCTACAGGGGCCCTCACTTCACTACCCTGTACTCCTCATTTCCTTTCCCTCTATGTCTGTCACCACCCTGGGCTCTCGTATGCATTCAAACTGTGGTGCCTGCCCTTCCCAGAAATGGGGGTGGTGGGGGGACTAGGAAGATAACCCGGGGTTTGTACCAGGGCTTTGGGATTACATTCTACATTCACTGAGAATGGATTTGGGAACACAAAGGTTGTGTGGGTAGAGGGTTTGGGGGGGAACTGGTTGGAGGGAAGGTAAAGTTCAAGGATGCTCTTGTTTTTAATCCTCACATCACTCATCACTTTGTTCTTTTTTTTTTTTTTTTAGCATTTATATATTTTTGAGACACAGAGTGAGACAAAGCACAGGAGGGGCAGGGGTGTGGGGTCAGTACACAGAACCCAAAGCAGGCTCCAGGCTCTGAACTGTCAGCACAGAGCCCGACGTGGGGCTCGAACTCACCGACCGTGAGATCATGACCTGAGCCGAAGTCAGATGCTTAAACTGACTGAACCACCCAGGCACCCCTCTCATCACTTTGTTTTTAAAGAAGTCTGGGATACAGTTTAAAAAAAAAATTTTTTTTTGGCAATATTGTCTAAATTTCATCATGGAATATGTTACTATGACTTTCTCTTTGGTTTTATCTATACCAGAGTTCCACTCTCACTTATTTCTATTTCCTTCCCATTTCCTGGCCAGATTTGGAAATTACTTCTCTTGGACTTCCATTTTCTGATAATAACATAAGTTATCCTCAGTCCCTATTTAGTGTGAATTTTTTCCCTTTTATTTGCTTATCAGATATTTGGCTTGAACTAATCTATAAACTTCTACAGTTTTAATTCTTTTTTTTTTAATTTTTATTTATTTTAGAGACAGAGAGACAGAGCACAAGCAGGGTCAGGGCAGAGCGAGAGGGAGACAGAATCTGAAACAGGCTCCAGGCTCTGAGCTGTCAGTGCGGAGCCCGATGCGGGACTTGAACTCACGAACCGCGAGATAATGACCTGAGCTGAAGCTGGATGCTCAACCGACTGAGCCACCCAGGCGCCCCTACAGTTTTAAATCTTAAGTTGTTTTTTCTACCTCATCTTTACTGAAGTTACTACCATTTCCTTTTTTTTTCCATGATAAAAGGCCCACCTTGAGCCTGTATTCTATGATTTTTATTATTGTTTCAAAAGTAAATTTGCCTTTCCAATGATATTTGGGTTAGAATGGTATTCAAATTGCTTTCCTATCCTGATCAACACCAGGTGGCATGGGGTAAAAGAAAGCATAGAAGTGTAATGAATGGCAGGGAAGCTATTTTGAAACTTAAACCATATCATCAAAAACTGATTATTACTATTCCTAGAAAAGCTACTCACTGTACTTTTCTCCCTCTTATTTCTGATTCCTATAGATGGTATGTTATGTTTTCTGGTTTGAAGCCTGACAATAAAACAATCAAATATTTGTTGTGGGAAATATATTACTATTCAGGTGTATTCATCAGCCTTTTGAGCTAGGTTCTTCTTGGTAACTCTGAACTCAGGAATTTTACCTAAATGTGTTTATTTGGCCTATTTATAATTGAGGAGTGAAGCGGATGGAAAGTACTGCTCCCCTAACTGCCCAGTAATGTGGGGGCAGGTATTAATCATGGTGTCTCAGAATCCTTACCTGTGACCTTCTGAGTTAGACTAGATAATCTCCAAAGACTTATTGAGCTTAAATCTTCTCTGAATAGAAGTTCTTTTTCGAACTTCTTAAATAGCGTAAACTTTTATATCTTTTAAAAAACTTTTCTGTATCTCTCTACGTTACTTATTTGGTGCTATGAAACCATCAGAATTTAGAGAACAAGTCACACTTTTCTGAAAAAGAGGGTATCGCGAAACTTCATAAATTGGCACTTTAGGATTGTAGATCGTGTGCTGTTGCGTAGATATGCTGTGTCTGCCTAATACACATTTTTAGTTGATTGGGTATTTGCTAAAAGTGGGTAATTTAAATTATCTACCTGCAATTTAATTCTTGTAGCTCTCTTGTTTTTAATCTTGCAAGTGGTTAGTATGCATTTAAATGAAACTATGAATCGGTATGTAATATAATTTACATTTTTAGTAGTTAGGTATTAAACTCTTACTATATAGTTCATAGGTATTTGTTGTTACAAAGTGAGTTTTTAGTACTTTCTTGCACAATCACTTCAGATTGCATCAGCTACACAGAATGTGGTTGTGCCATTGTGTATGGTAAATTTCCAAAGATGAGTTAAGGGAGGGGACATGCAAAATTGGGAAGCCATATGATCTAAATCATGGGGCAGGAAGCCTTCTTTGAAGACATGGCTAGGATGGTAACTAGGCTTACTGTGGTGATCATTTCACAGTATATATAAATACTGTATCATTATGTTTTACACCTGAAACTAATATAATGTTGTATGTCAATTATACCTGAAATTAAAAAACAAAGACAGGGCAGATTTAAGTCCTCTAATGAGGAAGAAGGGGAAATAATTTCACTTCTCAGAAGGATTAATCCGTTTTTACCTTAGTGACTAAGTTTTCCCTAGAAATTTCTCTTTAGCAGTTTATTTTAACTACTTACATGTCTTTCATCCTGATTACTTTAATTGGGGATATTTGACTTCTGTCCCACAGAAGTCATTTAAAAAGTGCTTGTGTTTCTTTCCTACATCAGTGCATTTGACACCTTTCTGGAACCCCTGTGGCTTTTATGAAACAACATTCTTGCCCTGAATCTACTTTCAGGTTAAGTTTTCTCTTCTTTAGGAGCTAAGGTCACTTGCACCTAGTCACACTTCCTTGCCTGAGTAGGCACTGTCCAGAGGGGTCATCAAATTCAGATTTAGGCAGGGATGTGAGGTAATCTTGCTCCCCCCTGTGGGTTTGTTTTATTACTGGCATCCAAAAAAGAGGCTTCCTTTCTGCAAGAAAGAAAACCAAATATATGTGTCTGGGGACAATTGCACATCAAAGGGAATTTCAAGCAAAAGTCACACAAATGGATGAAGATAAGACAGGCTTTAATTTATTATAAAAACTAGGACCGGAAATGAGATGCTTCACAAACCACTAGTAGAGTTAACCCAGGAACCCAGCCTGGACTGGGGAGAAAGTTGTAACTCTCACAGGGAGGCAGAAAAGGATCAGGATGAAGCATAAAACAGCTGAAGTCTCCTGGAAAAGGCAGTAAGCCATTATAATATGAAGTCAAACAACCAGTTCTGCTCTTTAGAGGAGGCATTAAGGAGTATTTTTCTGTCTTGATGATGCCCTGTGCCTCCATATCTTGGGTACTCTTCCTCTTCAGCCTCTTTCCTGTCCCTCTTCTGCCCTAGTTCCAAAGCCACCTAATTCACTTCTTTATCACCTGAAGTACCAGTACTCAGAGACTAATGATCACCTCTATTCCTGCACATTTACTGCTTGCCAGGCACTGTTCCTGGTGCTTTAATATTATCTCATCGTGGTCACAAGATCAGCATTATTATCCCCACTTAATAGGTGAGGCAGTTAAGCAATCACTTACTCAAGATTATATACGTAGTAGTTATGCAACCTGAATTTGAACGCAGGCTTTTCTTCTCAGGTTTGTTATTTCTCCCCTTCACTTCATTATAATGCCCTCTTGTTCCTTCCTGTAATCTCTCCTCCTTCAAGGCTTATTCCCACTTAAAGTTACTCAGATACTGTTTTCTTTGTTACTTAAATATTGAGAAATGTAGAGTCACTGGGTTGTTTGTCTTCGTTTGTAAATTCAGCATTCAGAGCTCTTTCCGGACCTGCCCACCTCTTCTTCTGTCTTGTTGTCCTTCTCTCAGCTGGCAGTGCTTCATGGAAGTACTTTTCTTTCTCATTACTGATTACCATACTGTGCTGTACACGTGGAATACTCACTGCTTTGTGTGCCTTCATCTGTCCTTCTGATCTGCTTCTCTTTCCCACTGATAGTCCATCTCCTCCTCTCCTACAAATCTTTGTTCAAATCTTTTGTGCTTGAACCTATTTGACTGTTAACTCCTAGGTGATGTAATTTCTTCCCTTATATATTCATTGTGTATTATTGCTATGTATTTGTTCTTTGGAGTGTGCGGTTGTATATTCTTTCATTAAAAACAACAGTGTAAGCTCCTTTCAAGTGGATACTGTGCCCTTTTTCTGTTTGACATTACCTCAGAGCACCTGGCAGAGGTTTTGATCCAGAGAACATTTAAACAATACTGACTGACTTGTTCCATTTGAAGTCTACATTTTAATCAGACAAAACTAACAGGGTGGTCATGTATAATAATTTAAATCCTGATATTTGCATTAAAAAAAAGATACTGATTTCTTCAAAAAGCTGATACATCCAAAATTACATTCTAGTCCTAAAAACCAAATGGGCCCAAAGGCTAGGATTCATTTTGCTTAAGAACTGTTGTATCCACTGTGTGAGGACTTGAAGCATATGGAGACATTTGAAATATTTAGGTGTTGAAAGGTATCGTTTCCCTCTGTATCATTTCTCATCCTTTGTTCCTTAACATTGTCAGTCTCACCAGTGGCGTAAGTTAGTTGCATGGCAAATACACGCTTGTACTAACACATAAAGTAACCCTTGATGCCTCTTAGAGATGAGAGTTTGAGGGTATTTCTTGGAGTTGTGCTAGTCAGTTTTAATCCTGTGTTTTCTTTCTTCAGGTTTCCTGAAATGCAGTTTTTCCAACAAGAAAATGTGAGAAAAATTCTTACAGATGTTCTTTTCTGTTATGCTAGAGAAAACGAGCAGTTGCTTTATAAACAGGTAATGAAAATATCGTACAGGTGGCATCCATTGACTCAAAATTTTCTATACAGCTTGACAAATGATAGAGCAATAATGTAGCCTTTATTGTATCCAAAGTTGTATCATAATAGTAAAGCAATCAGAGAGCTGCTTGTCAGCTGCATGGTGAGAAAAGTAAGCTCATTGAAGCACATATGCTTCTTCCTTATTATAAGACATTCCACCAAATTGTCTTCTGTAAGGCGTTCAATCTTTTCTTTCAACTTTTGGGAGTTTGTTTATAAACAGCACCTTTGAAGCCAATCTAGTAATAAAACTTTTCAGAATTGTATATATAAATAGTGTTTATAAATATGTGACCTGCTGTGTAAAAAATAATCAAGTGTCCCTCCACTCTTTAAAAGTTACTGGTAATACGACTTCAGAAAGTTCCTGTAAATTTTTGGAAATTTATGATACTCTTTGTTATCCAGGTATCTGATTCATCCCCCATTACTAAAAGACAGAAGATTATGGGTTATGTTTTGCTCTCACTGAAATGTGAATTAGTTATTTAATATATAAAGAAGTATCTAGGTTTGTACTTAAGCTGATGGTGTTCCAATAAAAATACACGAAGTTGGATATTTTTATGTATTCTCAAAATGTATAGTAAGTGGGAAGTCAAACCAAATTAATAAATTCTCTAGCAGTCAAAAGTTATGATGTATGTTCAACTGATAATCACTTAACTTTAGTGTAATAAAACAGAAAACACTGTATGATTAGAGTAATGTATCTATTTAAATTTTTTTTTTTAATGTTTATTTTTAAGAGGGAGAGACAGGGCACAAACAGGGGAGAGGCAGAGACAGAGGGAGACACAGAATCCGAAACAGGCTCCAGGCTCTGAGCTGTCAACACAGAGCTCGATGAGGGGCTCGAACCCACAAACTATGATGAGATCATGACCTGAGCCAGAGTCGGATGCCTAACTGACTGAGCCGCCCAGGTGCCCCTAAATATTTTTTTAAATTTATTTATTTAAGTAGTCTCTACACCCAGTGTGGGGCTGGAATTCACAACAGCGAGATCAAGTGCTGCATGCTCTTCTGACTGAGCCTGTCAGGCTCCCCTAGAACAATGTATTTAATTTGAAATAAACTTGATCAGTTTAAAGATAATAAACTAAATCATATTACAGTGGTCCTAAATAATGTATTTGTTGTTATATACATAGAAGACCCAAGGGAACTAATTGTATCTTGCTTTTAATGTTAGTAATATGCCTTTATATTAATTACATGGTGATAATCAGCTTTTAGAATGGGAAATGGAAAAAATATATCTCACTTATAATGGCAACCAAAACTTGAAAGTGTCTTGAAATAAATATAGCAATGTAGGTATAAAAGCTATATGAAGAAAATTATAATATTATTGAAGGATATAAAGCAGGGGTTGAATAAATAGAAAAGTGATAGCATGTTTGTGGATGAGAACACATCAAATAAAATGAGTATTACTTCTTCCCAAATTAATATATAAATATATTAGCATTCCAATTATAATCTAAGAGATGAACTTTTTAAAAACTGGACACAGTTATTTTAAATTTAGTGCACAAAAGCTTTACAGTAATTAATGGAAATAATATAGTTTAGTGGTTAAGAGCATTGGGTGTGGGCTTATATCTGTTATTTGAATCTCAGTTCAACCAACCATTTACTAGCTACATAATCCTAGACATTTTACTTAAATTTTCTAAATCTTTGTTCTGTTAGCAGTAAGATGAGGGCAATGACAGTATTGATTTTGTAGAGTTAAAAACACATAGTGCTCACTAAGGGTTCTTGTTTGTAGTTGGGGTGGTTATTACTATTACTATCATTGTTAAATATGTTGGAGTTGCCACAGAATTTAGGGGAAGGGGAGAATGGTAAAGGCATTTGGCAAAGAATGGCAATTATTCTGTAAATATGCTGTGATCAAGCCAGTATAACAACAGTGTGGGAGTCAACAGAGATCAGTGGAATAAACTAAGAACAGGTCCAGTTACATATGGATTCTTTTTTTTTTTTTTTTTTTTAGTGTGTTTATTTAGAGAGAGAGAAAGCGAGTGGGAGAGAGGGAAGGGGACAGAGAGAGAGAGAGAGAGAGAGAGAGAGAGAGAGAATCCCAAGTAACCTCCATGCTGTCAGCATAGAGCCTGATGTGGGATACAAAGTTCAAAGACCAAAAACCAATCAACCAACCAACCAACCAACCAACCAACCAAAAAGGAGACTACGAGAAAATAAGTATCAATGTAGGATTTTTGGAAGCAAATAACTGAAAACCTCATTCAGAATAACTTCAAGTCTAAGGATGTTATTAACACACTTTGCAAGAAGTCTAGGGGCAAAATGGTCTGTAGCATTAGTTCAGTAGTTCAGACTCCTCATCAATGATCCAGGTTTCTTTCTGTTTTTCTGTTCTCTCCTCATTGTGTTGGCTTTTGTCATCAAGTGTATCTCTTCATTGTGCCCTTTCTTCTTTCCAATATTTGAAAATACTGCACAGTAAAGGATTTGATGACAGTGAACCAAGTCATAATAAAATCACCCCAAGTTGTACATTTGTTTCTCATTTTTCTTTTCTTTAGTGGAAGAAAAAAGTCAACTAAGGAAGTGTTGTAATAATGAAAACAAGTTCCACAGACAAGGAACAAAACATAATAACTGCACTCAGGCATTTATGATGTATGTGGCCCACTGCATTTGTAAGGAAAACTAAACAAGAATATGGAAGATCAGATTCTGGATAATTTAGACAAAATCAATCAATTACTGAATAAGAAAGTATTATTAACCTACTCTTGGGAGTCACTTAGTAAGATTTAATTACTCCCTGTACATGTTTAAAGTCCTATAGATTCTTTACATAGAAATAATACTTTGCTAAAGAAGGACTGAATATTTAGCCAGATCAAATTTAAGAAAAAAACCTTGAGTTTCATCACAAGCTGTTAAAGCTATTATTTTGTACTAGGTGACACCCCGTTTAACATCGACCATATTGTTAATAGTTATGGGATTTTATTGAATTAATGAGACTGTTATCATGTAGTAGAATGTCTTGCTGAGTTAATTGAAACTGCAGAGATTATATAAATGGTATTAATGAACTTTGACTGCCTGATGCCTCAGCTTTAATAAAGACTGCTTGGTGGGCTAAATGAACACAGGCAGATAAAAGAACAGGTTCAATTTTGTGAGCCTACAGGCTGTTGATGAAGAAAACTTCGTTACCTTTATGTTCAACTGGCATGAGTTTGGAGTGCAGTGACTACTAACAATCCAGCAGGGATAAAGACTTTAAGCAAGCAGAAATGCTGATGGTATAGATGAAAGCAAAATACACATTTTGGGAACCAATAAGTATACTAGACAATACATTGTGTTTTATTATGCTTTGTCAAATTAGAGCATATTGAATTTATGATCATTCTTTCTAGATAGTTCTCTTTTCCTTTAAAGATGCCTATACACTTGCCAGTTGTAATTATTAATCAGGTTTTACTAGTCTAGAATTAAGAGTAAAACCAACAATCTCTTCAAGTCTATTTGAGAAAATACCCCCAGTTTAGTTAGAAGTCAACAGTGAATTTGTAAAAGGTTGTCCTAATGATATTCAGGGAACTCTTAATTTCCGTTATACAAAGAGCACCCTTATTGATTTGATATATGGTTTAATGTTCTCCTTTTTTTCATTTCTAATATTGTAGTTCAACTTTTACCAGTACATTGCTATATGGAGAGGTAGATATTTAATCAGCCAGTCACCATCCAGTGAATACCTTCTATGTGGTGAGCCTGTAGCAGGAGCTAGATTTTTGTATCTACACATAGATATCATTTATCACAGTTTATAATTATATAGTCATTTCTGTGCTTATTTTATTATTGTGTGTCTTGCTGTCTGGACTGCAAGCTCCATAATGGTTAGGAACTTGCCCACTTCATTTACGTTTGTGTTCTCATCATTATCATAGGTAGCTAATAATTAGTTAATTTTTAGAGAGAGGGAGAGAGAGAGAAAGCACGAGTGGGGGGCGGGCAGAGGAAGGGGAGAGAGAATCTTAAGCAGGCTCCACACCCAGCATGGAGCTGGACTCAGGGCTCGATCTCATGACTCTGAGACCATGACCTGAGCCAAAATCAAGAGCCCAGTGCTCAACCGACGGGGCCACCCAGGCACCCCTGTTTTTGAAATATGAATTTGGAAGGTGAATGATGCATGGGCAAATGGAGACTCTGTATAGTGTCACAGAAACCAGAAGGAAGAGAAAAATTTAAAGAGGATTGGAAGATGCATTTAGGCAAAAACTCATTCTTGTTAAACCAGCCATTAGAGAATACATTGAGAGGGAAAAGACCCAATCAGAAGATCACCGCCACCATCAGCAACGACAAAAACCTAGTGAGAAACTAAGCAGTTTTACCAACTTTTGGGCTAGAAAATGTGTTGTTCTTTAAAATACCTATTTTCTTCAAGTTAATGTTAATGCAATGCCAATAAAAATTGCAGTATTTTGTTTAGCATTTTATTTAAATGATACTTCAGCTTACCTTCTAATTAGAATAGACAAGATAATTTTGAGAAAAAGAATAGAAAATAGGGCAGACTAGAATATTTTGCAGCTCAAGTCATTAAAATAGTAAAGTTCTTGTCAATAATGAACAAACCAATGGAATGCTAGTAAAAGCTGAGAAAAAACAAGCTCTAGCAATTCAGTGTATGGTAAAGATGACATTTCAAAACTCTTGGGAGAAGATGGGTTATTCAAGAATTAGTTGAACTCTTGCAGAGAAAAATACCGATTTATTCTTCAGGGCAAAAATAAATACCGGATGGGTAGAGAATTAGCTGTGAAAAAGAACACTACATACTCACCTAACCTCTATATAAGGAAGGTCTTTTTAGGCATGGAAGCAAAACAAGAAGCCATGAAGGATGATGTCTTGATTTGACAGTTTTAAAGAATACAGCTTCACTGTGACATAAGATACCATCAAGATTAGAAGACAAATGATGAATGTGGACAAGCATATGTAACAAAAATGACTACAGGTTCCTATCCTGAGTTGGTGAAGAACTATAACAAATCATCAGGAAAAAGGAAACACTTCATTAGGAGAAAATGGGCAATTCATTAAATAAAAATGGTCAATAAAATTTTTTGTCAGTCTCACTAGCATTTAAATAAGGTAAACCATTTGACTATGAAGTTTTAAAGGATTAAAATAAAACAAAACACTACAAGTTAGGATGTATGAAGTGGCAACTTTTATGCCCTAAAGTGAGGGAGTTCTTTCTGAAGGGCAGCTTAATTGTGTATATATCAGAGACTTTAACAAATGTCTTTACTCACTTACCCAGAAATTCTACTTCTAGGGACTTTATCCTAAGTTAATGATCAGAAATAGGCAAAAAGATTACCATAAGGATATCTAGCATAGTTTTTAATTTCTTTTTTTTGGTTCCTTCCTTCCTTTCTTCCTTCCTTCCTTCCTTCCTTCCTTCCTTCCTTCCTTCCTTCCTTCCTTCTTGTCTTTTTCTCTTTTTTTTTTTTCCTTTTCTATAGGTACAGTAAATACAAGTACTATAGTAAGTAGCTTGTACTTTGATGATTAAATTATGGCACTTGGTGTTTGGAATACTTTGAGATTATTCCAGGAGAATAAACACCTCATGATGATTTTAAAGCATACTCAGCAGCACTTAATTCCATTTTTTTCTGGATCTCTACCATGCTCTTCTAAGGGATCATCAAATAGTCATTTAAAGTTTTGTTTATTAAGGACGTGGTTAATTAAAAAGATTGAAGTGGTGTGTGGTAATTTGTCTTAATCACAAGTAACTATTCAATGTATCAGAGATTATTTTGCACAAATGTCATAAAGCCCTAATTCCAGGCTAGTGATAACTTATGAATGAACTCTGATAGAGTTCACTTTCATCTTATTTTGTGCTGACCACTAGCTTTCTAAGAATAGCCTGGTGCTTCTAGGATGTACAGAGGGTTGTGCGACTGCCCTTCCATCATGGGAAGTCTCTGCTTCCGCCAGTGAAACTCTTCTCTTTGCTTCCATATTTTATTTTTATTTCCTTTGAAGGTGGTGTTTTGTCTTATTTTTTTAAATAAAAGATCATCCATAATTATTAAGCAAAAGGAAAGTGATAGTTTACTCATTTTAAGAGGCAGAAAAGAATATAGTCTACTTTTAACTTGTTAAATATGTTTTCTGATGCTTAAGGGGGGGGAATGTTTCATTTAAAAGGCAAATTATTTACCTTTTCCACAATAAAGGATAAATAATGAATTTTTAGAGATAGCTTAGTAACTAATATGCTTTTTTGTTTCTGTGCCTATTCGTGTAATTCATGGGTAACACCAATATAAGGAAAAAGAAAATACAATTGGTGAACTCACTAAATAAATTGAACAGTAACCTTATAGTTGAAGTAGACAGGAAAGAAATTATGGTCGTTTTCAGATTAAACATGTTGAAAATCATACTTCGAAAACTTTGTTTGCTGTCATACCTGCTAGAGATTGTTTCTTTTATTATCCAGCATTTCCAGCTAGCTGACTTCAGCTCTTCCTAAATCTACAGACATCCTAATTTTGAGCCATTATGTAATGAAAACACTGGATATAATTTCTTTAGGTCTACAGTTCTCAGTTGCCCTTCTTACTGCAGATCTTTACACTGTAGCTCATGATTATAATTTGCATAAATGAAATTCATATTTATGAGTACAGATCCTGAAGCAACTGACAGGTGCAAGGTTGTCTGCCATGCCAATTTATTGTTTGTTGTGTCATTTAAACGAGAACTGTTCTCCATGTTTTAAAGAAGAAGAATTTGTGCTGTGGTTGAATTGGAATCAAATTCTAAAAGTAAATAAAATCTCATTTTGTAGCTTTTCATTTTATGCATTTCTCTAAAATATGGAAATGTTGGTAGTAAGGATCAGTCGAAGAAGCATTTCACTGAGCCTATTCTGTCCACTGGTGGACCCTCAGCATCTTCCCCCTCTCATTTGTCTTGCTCTTACGTTTCAGGGCATGCACGAGCTCTTAGCACCTATAGTCTTTATCCTCCACTGTGACCACCAAGCTTTTCTTCATGCCAGTGAGTCTGCCCAACCAAGGCAAGTTTTTATATGAGCTCCATCTGTTTTTTAAGCCTTGCGGTAATCATCTTAACCTCAGAATCTTTTACGTTGAAGGTACTTTTATAAATTGTAAACATTTGGTTGTGTTTCATGTGGCTGATTATTAATTCCACTTAGTAGTTGTAGTCCTATGGGCAAATTTGTAATTGTAATAGTATTTGCAAGTCACAGATCTGTGCCACAGGAAGACATTTAAGTAGCGGATCGAGAAGAAGAAATTTTGGTGTAATGGCAAAGTGCTATTGACTAACAGTATTCGTATGTACCATCCTCTAATGAACCATTCTTTCACTACAAGCTTCACAAGCTTTAACTTGATCTGAGATCCTTTCTCCTCACCAGATTTGACTGAGTTCAGGTCACAAATAGGAGACCAGTACTCCAAAGAACCCCAGTCTATAAATAAACAAAAATGGTTTGTCATGTTTTTGAGATACATTAATGTATTCTTTCTAGCAAATAACTTTAGTAATTGTATTTAACCTGGGCTAATTGTTAGAATTTGTTTTCTAACTTTAAATGCCCTAACTGATGGCCCAGAGAAGTAGCCAGGAAGTATCTTGGGAATGGAAGCTGTGAGATTATAAACTTTTGTCAGAAGGATTCCATAGGCTGACCCATCCATATGCAGAACAGAAAAAATTAACACATAACATCTTATGTGTTTATCTGTATGATTTCTATTAATTAAATATAGCCATCCATTTTGCTCACATAAATTAGAGTCTTTGTTAAATTAACTTTTGTTTACTGTATTATAGATTAGTATTTTCTAGTTCATTTTGAGTTTCTCTAATTTTACTGAGTTTATTGGATCTGACTAGAGCAACTTGTATCTTAATTACCCTTTATTCAGTTATTCTAAAGTATGATATGGATGAAGTTAGTATTGTGATCCTATTTTCATGCCAGTTTTTATCTTTTTCAAAATGTGTACATACATCATACTCCACAGGAAAGTATAGATGATTGAAAATTACTTTTAAATAATTTGGACATGCTGCTTTAGCAGTTTCAAGCCATTGAAAGGTAAAAGCAACACTAAAATTTGAAAGAGGTACTGTCACTGATTAATGGGTATTAAAATATAATAAAAATAGAAGCCGTTAAAAGAAAAAAATGTTTTCATATGGTATATTTGACCAGTAAGTAAATATTTGTTTTGTTTTGTTTTGTTTTGTTTTGTTTTAGAAAAACAAAATAGATTGTGAAGTAACCAATTTATTCTAGATCAGACACATTCAAGGAATATATTGTCACATTTTGTATTTTCTTATTTGTAGCAATTAGTTATTTCATTGTGGTACAGACAAGGTACCTAGTTTGTTTTTGATCTTTCTAGAAAGAGAAGATTTCATTTGTTAATGGAATTGATTTTTTTTATTTAGAAAGGATGATTTTTTTCATATACACATTATACGAAAGTTGGCTTATGAGTATAGAATAAGGTAACCTCTGCAGCATCCCCTTCTATTAAAGACATTATACATTTTGATTATTTGTATTGCTTTTTCAAGTGAGGAGATGAAAACTCTCTTGAACCCTGAGTATCTGGAACATGATGCCTAGTAAGTACAAAAGCTTTCTATTATGTTACTTTTTTTACCCCATTTCTACTTTAATAAGGGTTTAACGTTAACACTATATTATTTTTCTAATTTTTAGTGCAATGTTCTCACAACTTATGGAAACTGCTGAACCTTGGTTTTCTACTTTTGAGCATGATGGTCAAAAGGTAAATATTATAGTACAGATATTTTCAATATATTTGGGGGGGAAACAAATGATTTCAGTAAGTAGTAGCATCTAATCAGAGAAGCAAAGCCATTATTACTACTATAAAAAACCAAAAATTTGAAAAGACTTACAGAATAAGATTGAATTGGGAATCTAAACCATGTTGCTAGTAATATTGGCAGATGTACAATGGTAGTATAAGAAATTGCATATAAATAGAAAATTTATTTTATATGTATATGTATTATCCATGCAATAGATCTTCTTTAAAAATTATTGTAAATTTTAAATGAAGTGCATTTATCTACTTGATCTGTTGTTGTCCTAGTGAGTTGATAGACAGACATGTTGTTACTGAAGTGCATAGATTAACTTTGTACCAGATAGGTTGTCTTATTTTTACTAATGCATCACTATTGAATTTATACATTTAGCATCAATACCATTTATCCTTACTCTCTCTTATTCTTTTTAACTATAAATTTTATTGTGTGATGTAACTGATATACCATAACATTCTCCTTTTTAAAGTGTACAATTTAGTAGTTTAGAATATTCACAGGATTGTGCAAATGCCCTTACTATCTAATTTGAAAATATTTTCATCACCATAGAAGGCAATCCCATACCCATTAGCATACTCTGCATTCTCCTACTCCCCAGGGTCTCTGGCATCACTGATGTACTTTCACTTTCTATGAACTTGCCTATTCTGGACATTTCATGTAAATGGAACCATATCATATGTGGCCTCTTGTGATTGATTCCTTTCACTAACGTAAAGTTGTCAGTGTTGGTTTACGTTGTAGCACGCATCAGTACTTCATTCCTTTTCATAGCTGAGTAATATTCCACTATGTGAATATACCACATTTTGTTTATCCATACATCAGTTGATGGACATTTGGGTTCTTTCCCTTTCTGGCTATTAGAATAATGTCACTATGAACATTTGTGTATAAACTTTGTGTCAACACATGTTTTCAGTGCTCTTGGCATTCTTCTGGGAGTAGAATTGCTGAGTTAACTGACATTTTAAGTAAACATATATGCTAACTTAGATCATTATGGTGTTTTCATGGTTATTACACGATATCGGAAAAATTGCCAATTATGCTGGCAAGGGATGTCATTAAGAGTTTTTGGTAAATTTTTTTCTATATGATTCATTTGCTTTATGTTGGCGTGATTGTTTGCATTCTGGTCGGAAACCATATATTCTTCTGCCACTTTATTCCATCTTTTAAAAACTGAAATGGATAACTAATGCTTTTTATGCCTTTGGTCTAGATCAGGGCAGACTACTGCCTGTAGGCCAATTTGGTCTGCCATCTGTTTTTATACAGCTTGGGAGTTAAGCATGACTTTTACATTATTAAATGGTTGAAAACTATCAAAAGAAGAATAATATTTTGTGACATATGAAAATTATATGGAATTCAAATTTCCATGTCCATAAAAAAAGTTTTACTGGGATACATCCATGCCTGTTGGTTTCCATAGTGTCTATGGCCGCTTGTTCATTACAACTGCTCATTACAGAGTTGAGTAGTTGCAACACAGACTATAACCTCTAAAGCCTAAAATACTTGCTGTCTGGCCTGTACAGAGAAAATTTGCCGACCTTCAGCCTAGGTGATAAAGTCTTTCTTCAGCAATATGTCAACATTTTACATTCTGTCAGGATTATAAGAGGTGAAACTTGTAAGCATATTTGATAAATTACTGTGTTTTAGAACAGTGTATTTATTCTTGTCAGGTGATTTGATGAAGTCACAGACTTATGTGAAAAATCAAAATTTTGAACAAAAAGTATTTTAATACGTTTAGATATAAGCATCCTGATCATGCAGGGGTCAATTGTATTTTATAACTGTTTCACAGTATCTGCAAAACTGGATGATAAAAATGTGAGCATTACCACTTTTCAGTTTCACCCATTCATGCTGATATCACTGAGTCAAGTTCATGAAATGGCTAAGACAACACAAAAAAGGATATCCATTTTATCAAGGAACATATAGATGTGACCTCTGAAGATTTATATTAATTACTTGCATATATCGATAATATATTCCTAGAAAGCACATCTAATAAATCCGTTCTTCGTCCTCCCCTTTTTATTCTATGTCTTGACCCTGTCACCTTTTTAAAAAGAAGTTTGAGCTTCATACACTTCTCTCTCTTTCAGTTCTTCTCTGCTCTGTATGCTGCCTAGGTTAGCAGACATACTTTCCTTAAGACTTTCTTGATGAAGAAAGCAGTGTGTTGGTTTATATAATGGTGTAAAATTATCTCGCTGAATCCCTGTAACTGGCACTGACCTGTAGACCGCATTTTGAGTACCACTTAATAAATGGTTAAAGATTGCTGGTTTTGTTGATACTTGTAGCTGACCCATTTGATTAGACCTGTGAAATGCAAATGGCATTTTTTATTCTAAATCCTGAAGGTAAGGGATATCTAATACTAACTATTTTCTCCTTTGATTTCACTGTTACATAAACTGTTTATCATTTAAGTGATCATGAGCATTACTTGTGAGTTTCTTGATTTTAAGAAATGTTGTTGTAAGTATTAGCACAGGGGACATGTTTTCAAACTACAGTTTATATACACCTATAGTTCTTAGGCTACTCATGAGTCTCTACTAAGCATTTGAAAAATGGACTGCATATACTATCGATTTAGTGACAACTCATTCTGTTCAACCTGGAAATTGATTACATGCTTTCATTAAGTTAAACATTTTTAACAGGTTAATTTAGGATCTGTTCTCTCCAAAGCCAGTGATTGTATCTCTACAGAATATGTTTATTTAAGACCCTTACAAAATGGCTAGACCTGGTGTTCTGTTTCTCATGTGACTGACAGAAACCCTGCCTGAGCTCATTGCCTCCACCTGACACAGTATGGTATTCAGCCACATGAGGTTCTTCATTAAAGAAAAGCTACATGACTAAAATGAGTGAAATGTTGAATTGTTCTTTTTTTTTTTTTTTTGGTAGAAAGAGAAAGCGTGCATGTGTGTGCACACAAGCGAGTGGGGGAAGGGCAGAGGGACAGGCTCCATGCTGGGCATGATCTCCTTCTCCAAGGGCTCCACTCTGGGCTCGATCTCATGACCGTAAGACCATGACCTGAGATGAAATCAAGAGTCGAAGGCTTAACCTACTGAGCCACCCACATGCCTGACTTCTTAATTTTTAAAGGAAAGTTGGCTTCAGGGAAACACTATCTTTTGAATGTGAATGGTGTCTTACAATTAACATGAATTCTCCCCCCCCCCCCCCAGATTATTTCAATTTAGTATCAGGAAAAATGCTAGCAAGAATTATAATTTTTTTGAGAATTATAGCACCCTATCATCTGAAGAGAATACTCAATAATATAAAATGAGACAAAGGTGTCTTGGTTGTGTTATTTTTATAATAAATGACCACAATATAGAGGTATCTTTTTCTCCTGTCTATACGAATTAACAAACTAATTGAGCCATAAAAATCGGTATGGTCTTATATCCCTAAATGCACTTTAGGAAGTACAAAGGACTACATTTCTTTTTAAGACTTGAAATGATCCTGGAAAGACAGATGGAACCTCTTCCAGGAAATTTTTCTTTCTGCTAACACATGCCCCTCCTCCTCTGTACTTTGTACCAGCCTGATTAGTGACTGATCCTATGTGGAATTCTAAGTTTTTTTTTGTTAGTCTTCTTCTTCCCTGCCCTTTCAAGGGCAAGAGCTTTACCTTCTTTATTTTTGTGCCACTGAATTTGGTCCAGTGATGAAAAGATGATGTTCCTTTTAGAGATCTCACAGTTTAGGAGGCAGAGAAGTAGAAATGGATACTGTATGTAGTAGTAAAGAAGATGATGAAATAGAACCTGACACTTGAGCCAAATCTTTAAATACACTGGGGAGCTTCTCTGTGGGAACACTGGGGAAGGGATATTTCAGGTAAAAGAATGGCATCCCCAGGATCTCTGGGAGCACAGTGAGAGTAGAGTTGGCCAGATAATGAAAGGCCTCATAGACCTGGCTCAAGAATATGCCTTTTGTTTTTTGCTTTTGTTTTCTTTTCCTGAAGAGCTATTTAAAAAATTTTCAGAAGGGGAATTTGGCGTACTCCAATATCTTTTTTAGATGGATTACCAGACATTTTGGAAGATAGATTTAAAAGCAGACCAGGGCACTTGGATGGCTCAGTTGGCTAAGCATCCGACTTTGGCTCAGATCATGAACTCATGGTTTGTGGGTTTGCACCCCGCATCAGACTCTGCACTGACAACTTAGAGCCTAGAGCCTACTTTGGATTCTCTCTCTCTCTCTCTCTCTCTCTCTCTCTCTCTCTTTCTGCCCCTCCCCCACTTGCGCTCTTCTTTCTCAGAAATAAACAAACATTTAAAAAAACAAATAAATAAAAGCAGACCAAATTAGGGGCAGTGAGACCAGTTAGGAGGAAAGAAATGGTGAGGACCCCAAATCAGGTTATAATAGTCAAGCTGTAGGAGAGAAGACATAGTAAAAGTGTCTTAAGTTGTTCTGAGGAGATAAAATTGGCAAAGCAGGTGTTCTTATTGGAGGATGGTTTGAGGTAGGTATGGCGAAAGGATGAACATATTTTTGAGCAGAAGATGATAAACTCGGTTGTGGGCCTCCTGAATTAGAGACCCTTTTGCAACCTAAGATTCCTTGCCAACATGCGAATGTATGGGAGAGAACCCAAGAGGCTTCTAAGTTATGAATACAGATTTAGAAGTGTTTGGAAAAATGGGTGTTGGTTGAAGCACTGTGTATGAGTGAGATCAGTCAGGAATCACATGCAAGTAGAGAATTAAACTAAGACCAGATCTGTATGAAAAAGCAGAGTTGCAAAGCAGAAACAAAAGTTTGAGCTAGAGAAATAGAATGAGGATGAGTGGTAAGCAGGTAGTCACAAGAGAATGATGCTGTAAATCCCAAGATTGGAGAGAGAGAGAAATTGAGGGCTCAGCATAAGAAAGGGTCACATATAATAGGGAAAATCATCAGACTCGGGATAGTCGAAGTTTCCATGAAAGAATTAGAAAGGGTATAGACTTATCTTTCTTAACTTGGGCTTTGGAATGGGAGGAAGGAAAGTTGTAGTCAGCTACGTAGTTGTTGTTTTTTTGTTTTGTTTTGTTTTTTTGTTTTTAGCTCAGCTACACTCTTGGTCTGGAGAGTTTAAAACTCTTCCTACTCAACTATAATTAATCAAAGGGCAGTTAGAAAATATCTTCTTTTCTAATACTAGTTTCCTTTTTTTCCTGACTTTTTTATAGTTTTGAGAGCTCAAAGTAAAGCAGTTTTCATTTGCTGTTTTTCATGTTTAAATTTTATGACACAAGAAATACCTTTTCATCAGAGTATTCCACTTAGGTATGATGGCTGATTAGACAGATGGGCTGTAGACAAGTAGATTAGCAGCCGCTGTGGCGAAAATTATCTTGAAAAATATTTAATTTAACAATTTAATATTTAATGTCACCAGAGAAACTGGTCAAGGGAAGACAGGTAGAAAATATTTTAGAAGGCATTTCCTGGCCTTTACATTATGTGCACAATTCATCTGTATGACGATCAGCATATGATTCCACAGTTAAGCATTTGTCATGAGATGATTGTCATGAGTTTTTGGTTCTTATTTAAGCTTCCATAGGTGAGTACATTCAAGAATGATGTTTATACATTTGCTCATTTCATATTGAAATAACACATGCTCCATTTTTTTCTGTTTGTAGGGAAAAGAAACACTGATGACTCCCATCCCCTTTGCTAGACCACAGGATTTAGGGCCAACGATTGCTATTGTTACTAAAGTCAACCAGATCCAGGATCATCTACTGAAGAAGCATGATATTGAGCTTTATATGCACTTGAACAGACTAGAAATCGCACCACAGATATATGGGTTGTAAGTACTAAAGTTTACGTTTCAGCTGTATCTAACTATGACTTAGGGTGGTTTCTGTATGTCTCAGATTCATAGAGGTAAGAGCTGGAATTATTCCAGCTCCGCTTCATTTCCTATGTCTATTGGGTCCTATGTGCCAGACCCTGTGCTCATTACTTTCACAGATGATATTTCATCAAATATTCCCATTAACCTTGTCAATTTAGTGTCACATGAGGTAAGAAACTTAAGGCTTACACTGTGTTTATGCATATTAAATAGTGAGGTCATAATTCAGATCCAGGAAGGATTGGCTCCATAATCTGCAGAGCCCAGTGTAAAATAAAAATGAATATCCCCCTTAAAAAAAATTAGTAAGAATTTCAGGATGGCAACAACAGATCATTCAACCAAGCATTCTAAGAAGGGCAGAGCCACACAGGTCATACACACATGAAGCCAGCCCCAAACCCAGCCAGTCCTGCAGTCTATCCATGTGTTTTCCATTTTATTGGGAATTGCATTTGTAGAAGTGAGCTCAATGTTCCTCAGGGTGAACACAATATGGTAATCATCTTCAGCCATGAAACTTTTGTAACATGCTATCGCAGAAAAATAGGGAGCCAAGCGCTCCTCAGAGACGTGTGTTATGTTTGTATGTGTGTTTATTCAGTGGCTTAATAAGATGAGTAGGAAAATTAGAAAGATTGCAGTTCTAATAAATATAAATTTGTGTAGTGCTGCAACATTGAAACAATAAAACATTCATATCTAGTGCTGGACAGTTCCTTGGTAGATATTTTCTGCAATTCCCATCTCTCAATTAGGTAGAACTTGGAAAATAGAGACAATATTATTAAGATGTACATAGTAGATGCTCAGTAAATATGAATTTGTTATTTGAATTACAGAGAATTTCAAAAAATCGAAGGTTTAAGACCAGAGCAGAGTCTGTTTATTTAGCCCAAAGAAATATCAGTGAATGTTTTCTTTATGTTCTCATGTTACATACAGTCTTTCACTGATAATAACTCTGCTATCTATCATCTCTGGAAACCCTGAACTGTGATTAAAGATGTCTGCTTTTCTGTTTAAATAATGCTTATTTTCATTTCTGTGACTTAAACTTGTGACTCAAGTTTAAGTCTCAGCATTGAGAGCAGCTCCATCATTCCCATGAGAAATGAGAAAGTTGAGGGTAACATGCATATTGGGCAGTACTGTAAGTTATTAGTGAATCATCATTTACACTTAAAAGTCTGGCTAATGTGTTTGTGATTGTAGACATAAAAATGTATTTTAAAATAGCTGGTGGTAAGGTCAGGAGTTAAATTCTATATTCCTCTCCACTGTGCACTCAAGTGGTTTATTCAGATCCCAAAGCCTATTTTACACCCTCAAAAATTGTTTACTAAAGTCTAGATATTGGTCTTAAATATTGGGGAAAGAATTTAATGTTGGACATACTTATCATTTCTTTGAAATGCTTTATTGTTTATTAACTTTTCGAGATGGTGCTTTATATTGCAGTGGTGGGTGGCATGGGCTTGGGTAAGATGATTTATAAACCATTATGTTCCAGTTTCCTTTTCAGACATTAGTTTCCATCAGCTTTCTCGTCATCATAATGATTCCTAGAGCTTCTTTGACACCTGACCAGCACCCTCCCAATAAAATTGCATGATCCATGACATAATCATTCTTAGTCCTTTCAACTTTATTTTTCAGCAGTAACCATAGCTGACTCATTTATCCCATTATTTTAGTCATAGAATCTCATCTGCATTAACTGAAAATGTACGTATTTTTTTTAAACTTCGATGAAGTCACTCGTTCTCTTAATTGGTCTCTACTGCATTTTATAGTGCAAGGAGTTTATCTATTCACTTCATTTATTAAATTTGATTGTATTATTTCTATTTGTGGGACACATGTAGTTCAGTTTTCCTTTGTCTTTATGCTACTTTCAGTTGTACTACTCATCTGTATATTTCCTGTTGATTACTGTTAGAATCTTTGGGCCAAGGAAAAATATGAGTATAGTATGCAATAGCATTTAGAAGCACAGACTTTGAAATGAAACAGATCTGTTAACCGTTTTGATCCTTGGTTTCTTCGTTTGTGAAATGGATATTGAAAATAATGGTACTTACTTCATCGGGTGTCTATGAGAATTAAATTATAATATACAGAAATCATAGTGCTGAATGTGTAGTAAGCATTCAATATCATTCAATATATGTTGGCAGTCCTTCTATTACCATTATCTGTCATTACCATTCCCCAGTTAGGATGTCATGGCTCTGTGAGTATGATGTTCTGCGTGTTTCATGAACCTTTCCACCTCTGGCTTTCTATGTTTTCTTCACCAAAGCACATGAATAGCTTCTACTTAGGTGGAAACTTAAAAGCTATCCTTCAGACCAGTGCTTCTAAAGAGCCAGTATAGAGCTGAGGAGTAAACTTCTAGAAACAGATTATAGCAATTTAGCAAAATAATTTTGTGTCCCTAAGGCTAAAAGAATATTGTAGGTTTGTACTTCAGGGAAATGAATTGACATAGTTTGTTTTGTTTTATGTCATAAAAGTAATATTAATCTAAGTAATTGCTGATGCTACTGTCCATTCCTATTGAAATCAAGCTGGTAATTTAGGCTGACATTCAGTATTCATGCTTAAAAACAATTAGTTGACACTTTGAGTACATTATCCTCAAGTTACGAACACAAAATAATCAATTTTCAGTTAATAAAAACTGTTCTTCTTTAAGATATCAGAATTCATAATAGGCATCATCTAAAATGTGCTTTTGCTTGCCATTTTTTTTACAAAATTTTTATTTTTATTTTTTTAATGTTTATTTATTTATTGAGAGAAAGAGAGAGAGAGAGAGAGAGAGTGTGTACGCATGCATGCATAAGGGAGGGTCAGAGAGAGAGAATTTGAAGCTCAATCCGAATCTGCCAGCACAGAGCAGGATGCAGGGCTCAGTCCCAGGAAACATGAGATCATGACCTGATCCAAAATCAAGAGTCTGATGTTCAACCGACTGAGCCACCCAGGTGCCCCAGAATTTTGATTTTCAAACAAGTATTTTCTTTTATACCGAAATGTTTTAACAAAATTAGAAAATGATATGATAAAAATGCCAATAACGAATGTATCAATGGGAAATGTTATCAGTATTAACAATTTGCATAGAATGGGGAATAAATCATATATATGTGAGAATTTAAGTCTGCTTTATAATATGGGTTATAATTATCATTAAGAGATGTTGCAGTTACTCCATTTTTAGAAATAGTTTAGTTCTGTTTTTTGTAAGAGAATATATGTGGAAGTCTCCCGATGTGGCAGATGAGCCATATACAAACATACTTATTGTATTTTGCTAATAAATCTATTTAACAAAATTAGAATTAATAATTAGTATAAAAATATTAATTGTACTAACATTGGCTAAAGTCATTCCAAATTGGCTTATCTAAATTTTAAGTAAATTGATGATACTTATCTTGAAATGTGGGAATTAAATACCCATGAGATCTTGAATATTATTATATAATAATTTGCTTACTAGTGCTATTATTTTATGTACTTAAGTACATTATCCCCTGGATAATTGTAGCTGGTTTTTGTGTTACAAAATGTTAAATCAATCAACTTACTGTTTAGTTAAACAAAGCTAATTTTAAGTTAAATGTGATATTATAAAATGATATTTCCTAGAAGTAATTTACACTGTTTTTCATTAACTTTATGAATTATTACTCCTGTTGCACTTTGATCAAAGTTTCTCTTGCTTTAATGCAAATCATTAACATTTTGAATTGTCTTTTGTTTGCCAGTTATTGATGGGTATTAGACTTTTAAAATTTTAGTTCTGTAGGGGCCTGTCAGTGCATGCTGATTAACATCCAAAGCAAATATTGACTACATTATTTCCAGCTTTCCAAGGTAGTTTCTAAGGGTTGCTTTTTTTGGCATCTTCATTTTTAGTATGATAATAGGAATGTGCTGTGATTTCATCACATAGGGGTTATTTTTGTGCAAAAGCCTCTAAAGTACCAGTGTTAAGGTTCCATTCCCAAGTATGTGCTTGTTTGAGTACAAAAGACTCTTAATCACAGATTCAAGTATAAAGACTGAATACCATTTTCACTTAATACCATAATACTATTTTATAGAGAGACCAAAAATTGAAGCTTAAAAATAACAATTTTTGCTAGGCCAGAGTAACTGTGTTTTATTATCACCCTTTAATATATTGAATCTGTATATTTTCAACTACATTTTATACTCTGATATAAATAGAATACATAATAAGCATCTGTGGGATATGCAATTAATGTCACTTTTGAGGAAAGACCCTCATAACACACTTGGGCTTTGGCATTCTTAAATTATGAGCTCTTCACAACACTCATGGGATAAATTTCATATCTCCCAAATGTTTAGTATACATCTTCCATTTCCCTTACTTCCTGTTTTCTGGATTAGCAGTTGTTTTGCTATGGTGGTTTATAGTGATTTAATTGGGGAGGTTCTTGGTTACTGATTAATAATCTGCTAAATTTTGTGATATAATTTTTAAATATTTATATCAGTATATTCTAACACATATCACAGTGTAATTATGTATGACTACTAAGTTTTTTAAATCTATATTTGAAGTGTAAACATATAGTAAAAAATACAATTCTTAGTCATCAAAGTCAGTATAATTACCTTAAAAATTCTCTCTCAACAATTTAAACAAATAGCTTTCTATTCTAAACACAGCTAATGACTGAAATATTCTTTCTTTTCAGTGAGTGTTGTGTTATGTTATACATTAAATGTAAAAAACATAATGACGGACTAAAAGGTGAAGATCCAGTGATACCTTATCTCATACCACTGAATATTCCCCCAGAATTACCTCTTTGGGAAAAAAAATGGTTTTTTCTTCTTCTATATGAAGAATTATCATGCTTAAAAATTGTAGAGGAGAATAATACATTATTTGAAATAATGATTAA